TGCTGAACTGCTGGTGAGTGAGAACCAAGCCTTCCAGCCTGATGGGGAACCTCACATCACAACTCCCAACCATATTCTGTATCTTGAAGTCCAGGAACTTGGCAGGGAACCCAAGCTTCTGCACCACACGCGCATACTTCCTGGCTGCAAGCCGCGATTGCTCTTCGCTGAAGGACGAGCAGAAGGGGAAAGCAGCTTTGATTAGCACTTTCTTCTGCTCTCGGGCTGGAAGTCAGTTTAGAACCACCACCATGCTCATCTGTCCTCCAGAAAAAGATACGCTACTGCTTAAAAAAAAAAGCAAACTTCTATCCCCAGAACCACTTCAGTGAGCTAAAAGGAAAAAGGCACTTTGTCATTCACTTCCCTGTGGTCTATCGGAGCACACTGGAGCATGTTGCATCACCCAGGAGTTCCCTCCCTCAGAGGTTTCTTTCTCAGTTCCTTACAGCAGCTTCTCAGAGCTGATCCAAGAAGTAGACTACAGACACCAGTACAATCATCTAGCTAGTTGGGATGGTGGTAGGGGTTGGAGAAGAGGTCTGCTAAGCTGTAAGTTAATGCATTATCTCGTGACAGTTTAGGGACATAAAAATCAAGGCAGCTGCTGAATTTGAGGAAGAAAGCTTCAAAGTACAGAAATAATCTGTTTTTCTCCAATTCCCATTTTCTCTAGAGGCAGATGTGTTGACTGGTGAACACAGACACTGAAGAGAGATTTGACAGACACAAGTTATGGCCTAATTCACTTTAAAGTCAGTGAGAAATGCAAATAACCCGTTAACAATTCCTGGGCATTTTAGCAGCTTTTCTGCTAATATCTGCTCAGCTCAATCTATTCAGGGACAGAAGCGGACAGTTCAGTAATTACTACGCTGCCATCATGAAGAAAGCTAGACATTTTTCAATACCAGTGCTTCACTTTTTTCCTTGCAATTATGACAGCCCTTTGCTAGATAATTTAAACAAGGTTTTCTGACATTTTTCATCAGAATACAGGCATAGCTACAAGACCCAGACCTTTAGAGGGAAGGAAAATTAAAAAATTACCTTTTTGCTCCTGTGCAGACCATTTTTCCTGAACTGAAGATGAGGGCAGTTGTTCGTGGTTCCCTGATTCTCATGATCACAGCAGCAAACCTCTACGAATTCAAAGGAAGACCTCAGTCCAGCTGAGGGATTTAGCCAGTACTGTATTTTCTGTTCATTTTTTTCAAGAATGAAAGTCAAAGCTCAACACAGCATGCAGTTGCTTTGTTTTAAGTGTTTATTTACCACCCTGAAGTTTTTTTCCACCTCCCCCAAGGACCAGGGGGCTTAAGACTACAGTCACAGGACCGCTGCTTTGTCCCTTACATTTTGTTGAGCAGTCTGGAGTCACTTACAGAAACCCAATCTATTCCCAGCAAGTTTCTGCTATCTAGGCCACTTGCTAGAAGTCTCATGTAATACCAGTCTGACTCCAGTAATTCTCCAATTCAGACAAGAGTTTTAACCCCCCCCAGTGAGGGCTGCTTGAGCCCTTTCAGCTGGAGGTAGCTGGCCACAGGTGGGAGAGTTCATCTCCTTTCTTAAACAGCTTGGTAACGTCTCATTGCTAGGGCTTTATTCAAAGGGGGGAAAAAAAATCTCTTTGTGGTCCCCTACATTTCTTTTAATTTAACAGGCCCAAGTTGCAGAATTTTATGACTTTCTCCTATGGGTCAAAGCAGTGTTATTAGAAAATGGACAAAGCTCGTGATGAATCTGTTAGAATCCGGCAGCACTGAGAAAGGGGAATGAGAGGGTAAAGCTTAAGAGTCCTTAAGAATTACCTTTGGGTTGTACTCTGCATTTCTGGCATGCAGAGCTATGTTCTTCAGATCTAGTTTACAAGCCAAGTTTACAGTTGACACTATATTCCTGAGGAACGAGAGGGGAATTTTCTTATTGCAAAAGCAAGTCACTGCAGAGCCAACCCCCAACATTATTAGCTTAATGTGAATTCACACTCCAATTAATAACTGCCATCAGCTAATTTCCTGCTTGCCTCTTTCCCACTCTAGCATTAAGCTACTTTTGGCCAAACTTAGGTAATTCAATACCAAAATTACAGTTTGAGATATAACAAAGTATGAAATTATTAGTCCCTAAATACTAAGTTTGTGTGTGTTCCAATAACTACATCGCTGAAGTCTTCTACAGCTTTGAATCGAACCATTACTGAGTGTTTACAGAGTTACTACAGCACTCTTAAGTAGGTAAGGGTATGTTATTCTCTACAGGTATATACTACTCCATAGTTGCTCTAGCCTAGACGGGGTAGGATCTTTTAGCGAGGCCAGAATTTCTCATACTGCTTTTCATGCCCCTTTCCCTTGCTCAGTTCAGACTGTTTCTGCCCTCACAAAAGCAGACTGGCATCTTTAAACCCCTGGAGCCTGCTGTCATCCTCAACGCTCTCCTTGCTGGAAGATATCCTCCTTTTCAAGTATTATTTATCTTTTCATTCTGCAGACTGAAGTAACTAGAAGTACTTACTATATATAAATAATTTCTCTCAATGGGGGAAGTGTTTGGTAGACTTCATTGCCTGTCTCCCAGAAGACACTTTTCCCCCTTAGCAAGCCAGAGGCATTTCAGATCCTCACTTACCCAGCGTGTTTAGCAAGTCAACTCTCCCCTGTTTTGCTAAGCTGGGTATTGTTCTGTGCCATTTCCATTTTTGTGTTGCACGGATCAGCACAGTATCCAGTTGCCTTCCAATATTGTCCATTCATTTGCTCCACCTCTCCTCAAAGGGGAATAACTGCCCCTCTAGTTTTTTGGATGGGCTTATTTAAGACCCAGCCTCACTTGCTACATTCTCTAAGCGAGAAGTCGGAGCAGTACCTTGCAGTTTCAGCAAAACTATGACTATTATATATGGTACATACACAATACATACATAAACTTACTGTAACTGTGGAACTATGCCAGAGCTTTCTGATGCAGGTGTCACTGGGGTCATAGGAGTCATTGGTGTCAGAGGAGGACACGCTCCAGATGCTTCAGGAGATGGTTGGGTGGCATCTGGATACGACAAGCCGCTTTCATCCATCAGGGTACTGCTGTCCTCATTTCTTGATGTTGACCCATCAGGCTCTTTTTGCATTTCATGACCATCTTCAGAGAGATTTTGTTCTTTGTTGTCTTGAGTGATATCTGGAAGAAAGCTGAGATCCACAGAGGAGAAGTCTGTTGGAAGCTCTTTGGGCTGATTAAATTGAGAACCGAACAACACATCTTCAGTTGTTTGAATTGGAAGGTCTACATCATAAGGGCTCATGGGAGTAAACAGCTGAGGACTAGCTGAGAGGTCATCCTTGAATTAAGAAAAAGCATCAGTAAGGATCTTGTATTAAAACATTTACTTTAACTGGGCGACTAAATTAAAATTAATCTTCTATTCAATCAGGAAGTTGAAATCATTTTTCCCCATACATACAATAGCAAAGAATAGTCTTAAGATTTGGAAGCGTGTTGTTTGCTCGCCTATCAGCATATAAAAATCCAGATAACTTCCATAGCGGAGATACGCATTTTCCCACCACACTTCAAAGGCAGCCTAGAGTATTCCTGCAATACCACAAATTGAGAAACATGAGATACCTTCAGCAGTCACTGGAAGAACAAGGTTGGCACTTTGCCCTTCACAGCCGTCGTTGTGCCACAGGTATGCACATAACCAACTCCAATTGCTCATGACTTTTTTTCCCAGGGAAGACAGCTGGCGTTTCCTGGCTGGCTTTAATTCCCATTCAGAACATCCCTATTTCCTCTCCCTGCTACCAGGGCACGGTGTCAGTGTCGTGTTGGATTTGTGCAACAGAGGGCAGCAGCTCTCAGAATGACGAGCGGTTCATTCCTTCAGCTGCCGGAGGTCACCAGAATAATTTCAGTGAAACACAGTCAGCAAAGCCAGCTTGCTTTCCCAGATCAAACATGCAACTTATCTGCAAGCAAGTTCTTGCATACTGATGTCCTCCTTTATCAGCTATTTATTATGAGAATCTATTTAAAAGGCATTGTAATATGAGGAGGGAAGAGTTCAGGAAAGGATTTATTCCCTTAGCCATTAGGGCATGAGCCGCTAAGTTAGTGGAAAGCTTCTTCCAAGAAAATGGTTTCTGCCAATACCCAAGGCAGGTGACAGCTTGGACTAGATGATCCATACAAGAGGTTTTGTGTTCATTTAGGCATTTTTGAGCTCAAGAGCCAGGAGGACTTGAAAAGTCCAAGCACAGATCAGAACAGGGAACGGTGCAGAAGGCGGAGGCCCTCGAGCTGGCAGCAACTGCCTGAGCTGCAGCAGGAGCAGGGCTTCCAGATCAATGCTTTTCAGCCCTGAGCCAGTGCTGCTCTGTGTTCTGTGCTAATCAGCTCACTTAGCAACGCAACCATGCACCTGGGGAGATCTCGGCTCCTACGTCGCAGTCTATGTGCCTATAGACGCTTGGAAAACTCTTACTAAGTGACAGATCCTCCCAGAGAACCCTTACTAGCTGGAATACAGATGTGATCAGGTCTAGCTCTGAAAGCATCATGAACACCTACGTTCAAAACTGTTTCTAAAACTGTCTTCTAGATACAGAGCCTCATACAAAATTATTGGGGCAGAACTGCTGCAGAGTAAAACTAGGTACTCCTTAACCCCTCAGCTCCTTGGAAAACCAGATCCAAGAGCACCATCTGACAATTAAGATGGCAGATACAAATGTATTAACAGTTACAAATAACAATATACTATGGAATAGCTAAAATACATCTGTTTAAAATAGATATTTTTCAAGTTAGCTACAGGGGCAGGAAGGCACAGTCTCTGCAAGATCTCCAGTGGACTAAGGCTGAGCTCTACAGGAGCTAATAAGGAAAGTTTTATATGAGCCGTGATGCAGAGAAGACGGTACAAAAAAAGCCTCATCACTGTGAGCCTGTAGGACTACTCACACATCATACTAAAGGCATCGGAGAACATGAGAAACGTAATAGTCAAAAAAACAAAAAGAAGAGAGATGTAAAGCAGACAGTTTGTGGCATAGCTTAAAGAAGCTGATGGAGAAGTGGGCGGTATATGAGGCTGGAAGCCTTAAACAGCTGAAAAATCAAGAAAAGCAACAGAAAGTAAGCTGCATAAAGTAGATAGAAAGCAAATCTGCCTTTCTTATCCGGTTTCCATACAACTGGTCTGGGAAGAAGCCGTTATAGGGTTAAGCGCCGGGGAAGACTGCCTTCTTGCTGGCCAGATGCTCAGGGGCTGTGAAAGGGGGCACAAGACCATGTTTATATTGGGCTGGCTGCCAAGGGTTAGTGCTATACACTCTGGGTTAATTAACTTCACTGAAGGCCCCGTCAACTGCATAGCTTTGGACATCTCCCAGCAGCTCCCAGCAAGGAGATTTCACACATGGATCCTGTCCGAGATCGCAAAGTTTGGGGCAGCTTGAGGGGAAACAGCCATTTTTGCTTCCGCTGCAGGAATCCCTGCAACCCAGGTACACAGAAATCAAATCCAGCTGCTTTAAGCAGCTTAAAGCTGGATTTTTTTGGTTTTTTTTTTTTCCTGCAGTGCTATCGCACACATCTGCTACTATCGACTATCCCAGCAAGTCTGAAATACAAGCAGCTCAGTAGCATTTGTAAAACCCTGGTTGTACCTCACCACATTATATATTTTATAGGGCTATGTTCAGAGGGCTTTACTGACCGCCACGAGGAGGTCTCTGGATTTAAACAGCCGGCGCTAAACCCATTTTCTGAGCTGAAAAATAGCTTGCAACAGGATGCAAGTAAAAAAAGTTGCGTTCCCTGGGTGAAGACGATGCTCAGCTGCAGAGCACAGCCCTCTCCTAGTCCCTCACCCGGTTGTCTCTGCAACCACCGGAGACCAGGGAGGACCATTCTAAATACCAAAAAAAAAGGGACATTTTTGCAAACATTTACTAACCAGCATGCAGATATCCAAGCCTCCTTGCCCCCTCAGTGCCTGCACACCCCGTGCACAGGCCGGCCCTCACAAACAGCACTACCCTCGCAAGAGTGTAACCGCAGCAGCATTCCTCTTGCAGCAGGGAGCCTCCC